AGTCAGGAGAGTCTTCATCAGGTCTCAGTGATCCTCTGGCACGATCCAAGGCCTCGTGCTTCCTGGTTAACGATTTACTTGTTTTATGTTCTTCTGTATGCAAATTTATAATAGCAGATAATTACACCAATTAGCTCCAGCCTAAGCATCTAGTAATCATTAACCTACCATTTACCTACCTAACTTACATCTTGGTCATGGAAACTACTTCAACCCTTAGGAAAAATCTTAACTCTTTAAAACCATGATTCATGAGGAGCAGCTGCTTCCAGCAGCCTCTCACAGAAGGTGCTCGTGGAGCCCCTCTATACCAAAATCTGGCCATGCAAACCTAGTATAAGTATGGTTTTTATTACCATTATTAATTCTTATTATTGCTATTAGCTGTATTATTACTATTAACATTAGAGTTATTATTATTATTACTAGTAATAATATTATTATTATTACTAGTATTTTTAGTCTGGCTGTATTATGGCTATAAATTAAAATTCTTAATTGCAAAAAGAAGTTAGGATTTTGGCAGCTGCCTGCCCTGCCCTGTTATGTGTCACTGCTGTGTGTGAAGCTGCTGCTGCCTGGGCTCCCGATTTCCCTGGTTTGGGAAATTCGATGGCATTGCTCACACATCAGAGAGCTCATTCCAGTCCCATGCATTGCCTGAGCCCTTCCAGTCCCACTATTCAAACCTTGTTTTCGAACGTTGTTGACTTGCTCAGCTTCTCTTCATATCTGTGATTTTATACCAGAATGTTCTCGAATGTGATTTTGCAAGATTGCCAGGAGCCCCAGCAGCCCAGGGAGAGGGGACACCAACACATTCCAGACAGGAGGGACCCCTGAACCCCAAAGTGGAGAGACCAGGGAGGGGGAACTCCTGGGTGGATGGGTTTTTGCTGAATCTTGGTGGTCTGGAGGTTTTTATGGACACCAGACACCTGGTGACTTCTAGAGATGGATTTGGGAAGGAGAAACATCCAGTGAAGTTAGAACTGTCGAGCTTTGCTCATTTTTTATCCCTTTTAATCAATGTTTTACTACAACCTAGTGATCTAAATAGCAATTAAATGTTGAAGACACGGTCAAACTAAACTAGAAGTTCAAAGTTAAAGAGTTTAAGGAAAAATGAAGAAACTCAGATATAAAATATAAAATACAACATTTAGTTAAACTACAAAACCAGGTAAAAACAAACTACCAAACTAGGCAAAAATACAAAAGTCACCAGGGGGTGACGTTTGTCAATGTTCATTTATCTCCTCTGGATGTTCTGGCTTTTCCATTTTTTTTTGCTGTTAAGCTCATCAGGCTTCACTGAGCCTTGGTGCACAGAGTCTTTTGGAGAGAAATTTCAATTCCCCTCCCCCTGGGCTGAGGTGAACATAGCCCTGATTAAAGTTACATTGGAAAATAGGAGAAGTTGTATCATTTCCAACAGGGAGCCCCCCCCTGCACTCCCAGCTGGGCACGGGGATGGCCCTGATGCCTCCCCCACGACCCCCAGCCCGTGCAGAAGCGATGGGGCAGTTTGGAGCAGTTTTGGGGTGAGCCTGGGCGGGTTTGGAAAAGGCAGAGGGACAATTTAGGGGCTTTTTGGGGTGTTGCCATGTCCCCCCCTTGCCCCAAATTTCCCCTTCCCCTGGCACTCCCGAGGAGATTCTTTAATATTGTGTGGTTTGAGGGGATGGTGCTTGGATCTGGAGCTTGCTCCCCACACTTGTCACTGGTGGGGTTTTGGGGTCCCTTTGGGATCCCTGAGGCTGCTCCTGCAGCCCTCAGTGACAGAGCAAATTCCCGAGCCTTGCCCAGATGGAATTGTGGCTCTTGGGGAGCTCTCAGAGCAGTGGGGAAAAGAGACCAGCACATGCAGAGAGGCACAAATCCAGAGTTTATTCTATTCTGGCATCCTATCTAGCATATACCAACGGCTATTGTTTTACAGGGGTTTTTATAACTTTTGGGGGTTTTACAATTTGCACCAATTAGCAAGGGAATTCTACTTTCTGACCAATCCCTGAGGGATTTTGCATTCAAAGCTGGCCTATGGATACTAAAAGAGAATGAACCACTAATATTGAAGATGGATAAGAGGGTCTTCCAAGGGGGGGAAACTAAATTCCTTTTGTATTCGTCATTTCACAAGCCATTTCTTATCTCTAAGCTATGATTTTCCAAGGAGCTTGTTCTGAGGATTCAGAGAAACTTTCTTTTGTGTTTTCTGCTCCCTCCACCACACTCCAGGCCTGGCCCCGCTATGGAGGTGACTGTAGGAAAGGAGCACCCCACCATGGGACATTCCTGGGCCAACTCCAGCCACAAAGAGCACTGAACTGAAGGCCCTCTCGCTGCTGTGTGTTCTTTCAGAACACAGAAACCCAAAATGTTTTCGTGGGGATCTCTAAAGTGCAAAGCAGGCAGCTCGCCCAGGAGCCGGGAACTGCCCTTGGTGCTTCAGCACGTGGCGCTTCCTGCAGGGACTGGAATGAATAATGCAACATCCTGACCTGGCAGGGATGCACAAGGGTCACCAAGTCACGCTGCAGGCCCTGCACAGGACGCCCCAATAATCCTCCCAGGGCCTGAAAGCGTTGTCCAAATGCTCCTGGAGCTCTGGCAGCCTCGGGGCCAGCACCATTCCCTTGGGAGCTGCTCAGTGCCTCATCACCCTCTGGGGGGAGAATCTTCTCCTGATCTCCAGCCTAACCCTGCCCTGGCACAGCTTCAAGCCATTCCCTGGGGTCTTGTCACCGCTCAGCAGAGCTCAGAGATTGGTGCCTGCCCCTCCAGTGCCCCTTAGGAGGAAGCTGTAGGCTGCTCTGGGGTGTCCTGCAAGTGCCTTCAGCCTGGTTAAACCTCATGTGGTTGATGATTGCCCCTCTCTCACATTTCTTAAGGTCTCTCTGCCTTTGAGGGAGTCAACAGCTCCCTCCAATTACTTCTTATTCCTTCAAGTCTCGCATCCAGGTCCTTCATGAGGATGCTGAAGAGCACGGGGCTGGCAGTGGAGCCCTGCAGACCCCACTGGTGACAGGTGGCCAGGCTGGTGTCACCCCAGGCGCTGTCACCCGTGCCTGACCCGTGAGCCAGCTGCTCACCCAGCACATGGCATGTTTATCCAGCTGGGGGCTGGACGTTTTCTCTGGGTTCACTTTGGTTTAGGGCTACAGACTCTCCACGCTGTCATTGTCCCTCTGGGATTCCCTCTCTCTCATCTCCAGCACCCAGCTCTGCCTGAAGCCTCCTCATACCATCAGACTTGGTGGTGAGCAGCCCCTCTGCCTGCAGCTTCTTTCCCTTCTCCTGATCATGCTCAGCAACAACAGCACCTTCCCCAAAGCCTGCTGTCCCTCTCCAGGGCATCTAAAGCCCCTGGACAATAGACAGCCCTCTGTGTGTGTGTGGGACCAGGGGTTATGAGCATCATTTACCCTTAGGAAAAACCCCTGGTTCCCAGGACCCTTAAGAGAGGGGCTGGGGCAGTTTGTGGCCACGGAAACGCCCCCAGGGCAGTGCCCGGCAGGGCAGGGTCAGAGCAGGCCCTCCACAGCCCCACGCCTTGTGCTACACCACCCCCTTAGTGCCTGGGGCCCTGAGGGAAGGAAGAACTGCAGCACAAGCAGCTGGAAAAACACATCAAACCCCTGTGCCTCTCCTCCAGAGGCAAGCAAGGAGAGCAGAGGCAGCTGGGCACTCAGGAAAGCCTCCTCACCCAGCAGAGCCCTGCTCCTCCCAGGGGTAAAATCCCGGGGCAGCCCCTCTCAGGTGCTGTGCTGGGCAGATGGAAATGACCATGCATCAGGAGAGATGTGTCCCTGCTGTGCCAGAGCTCTCATGGCACAGGAGGCTCCTGCCCTGGGCCACACAACCCTGGGGCAGAGGCTGTGCTGGCTGGGAGAGGAGAGCAGGGGCTCTGGCTCAGAGGGAGGTGTCTGCATTGCTGGGGATGACAGGAGCTTCCCAAGTTCTGCCTCCCATGACATTTCTGCTTGGAGTTTCACACAGCTCCCTGCCCGTGTGGCTGCTGCTGGGAGCCATCCCTGCAGGAACTCTTTCTCTGCCCTCAGATCTTTCCCTGCCACGGGGACAAAGCCCAGCACTAACTGCTATCTGCTCAGCTCTGACCTGAAGAAACCTCCAGGTTTCAGGCCCTCCAGGGAGTTTCTCCCACCAATAGTCAGCTGCTGGGGCAGAGATCTGTCACAGGCACCCACAGAGGCTTCCTGGTGACATTCCAGGCTGCCTCTGGGGCTCTAAAGGACCAGCAGTGACAGGGACTCCATGATGACATCCCAAAGAACTGCGAGGTCACAGGCGTGCATAGTGACATCACAGGGATCTCCAGGTTTCTAAGGAGCCAGGAGCTCGTGCAGTCACGGGGTTCTCCAGGGTATTTGAGGACTCTTTAATCTGTCAAGGAATCATGGAGTGACAGGCAGGCACAGCGGCTCCATGGTGACAGCAGAGCTGTCCCTACATGCTAAGGAGCCGGTTTGTCACAGACACTCACAGGAGTTCTGCAGGGACATTCCAAGAGTTTCCAGGCTGCTGAAGAGCAGGGATGTCACAGACATTCACAGGGATTCCTGTCGTGGGCAGAGTGGGAACTTCAGACCAAGTTTATCACAGAAGATCTTGTGGAGTCACCAGGTGCACAAAGGATCCCCAACGTGCCCCATCTCCTCTTGCCAATGAATTCCTGATGTTAGTCTCCAGGCTGATGGATGTTCTTGCCCCTGAGTTCATCCAGGCACTTATGGGGAACCAGGAGGACATGGAGAGCACCAGCCAGGTGTCTTCCCAACAGAGATCCCAGGCAATGTGGGACAGCAGGACTCGGCCCAATGGGGATCCTCTGATGGGGGATGGAGTTGGAGCAGCAGACAAAGCCTTTCCTGCACTCGGGGCCCTGACAGGGCTTCAGCTACCGCTGGCTCTGCTGATGTCTGGTTAAGACGTAGCTCCTGGAAAAGGCCCTGCCACACTCAGGACACTCGTGGGGCCTCTCCCCTGTGTGTGTGCGCTGGTGCTTGCAGAGATCCGAAGTGCTCCGAGCCTTTTTCCCACACTCGGAACACTCGAAGGGCCATTCCCCGGGGTGGATCTTCTGGTGGGAGGTGAGATTGGACCGAGCAATGAAGCTCTTCCCACATTGCCCACACTCGTAGGGCCGCTCCCCCGTGTGCTTCCGAAAGTGGTTGGCGAGGCTGGAGCAATGGCTGAAACTCTTCTCACATTCCGAGCACTTGTGGGGCTTCTCCCTGCCACGAAGCTGGTCAGAAACCACCAGGTCTGAGCAGCAGCTGGATGATCTCTGACCAACTTTCTGGCCCAGGCTGGGTCCGTCCTCCCCGGAGGACACTGGGCTGGGTTTGCAGCCCCTCCT